ACGTCGCTCCGCCGCGCTGGTCCGAAAGCCGGGTGCTTCTCCGGCAGGATCACGCCGACGAGCTCCCCACGGCGGCACGTCACTGAGCTCACCTGGCATACACCTTAGGCGATGCTTAAGAAAACTTAAGTTTTCGGCCAGAGTCTCGACTATTCTTAATGTTTCAATGTAAATCCTAAGATTTTAATAAAAATGTTGGGTTTAAATTCAAGTTCTGAGACTATGAATTTCTTAACCCATGATTTCTTAAGCATTTCGCAGGGTGTACGGCCAAGACGCTGAAACAAGGACGGATTGGCGGTTTGGGTTGTCAGGCCGCTCCTTAGATTTATGTCGTGGAGCCCGTTTACGGCCTGGGCACGCCGTGGCCACAAAAAGCCCCTTCGTTCCAGATCAGGCGTCCCTTTCCGCGCGCTGGTTTTCGTCGGACGCTTGGGCTCTGCAGAAGCCGTGGCGTCGGAGGCCTGCGAGGATCGCTGGCGCGGCTGGCTTCTGGGCAGGCCGCGCCGAGGCCCGTGACCGCCCCCCCCCCCCTCTGCGCCTCCGCCCCCGCGCCTGGCCCGGCAGCGGGTCTGTGCCGCATGGTCTTGTCGGAGCGCGAGCTTGTCAGCCTGGGTCGAGGACCAAGGATGGGGCGGGCGTGTCGGGCGGGGCCAGGGCGAGGAGGAGTCCGTTCCAGGGCGTCCCGGAGCGCCTTCAGAGCGTCCCGGAACGCTCTGCGCAGGCCGCGGCGCTCGATGCGTCCTCCAGATCCGCCAGATCTCACAGATTCTCGATTTGTCCGAACCCGATTTCACCCTCGTCCTGGCTTCCTCTATAGGGGGGGGGGGGATGACTCCGACGCGAGAGCCTCCTGCTGGTTGCCTGCCGGGGAGGCCCGGCCATAGCGGAGGCCACGGGCCACCGCGGTCCACCGGATGTGCATCTGGGGGGCCCCCCGCCCGGCCGTGCACGCACTCCACGGGGGCCCGCACGTCGAGGGAGGAGAGGGCCCCCCCCGGCCACAGCCATCGGCGTTCCCTAAGCAGCACTGGGCGTTTACAGACCAGCCCTGCCCTGTTCGATCCCTGCCCTGGGGGCGTTTTCAAGCGGCTTCGCTCGCCGGGGTGTTTATGTATTAGGAGTGTGTGGTTTTTTTCTGCCATCCATGACACACGAGTTGTTTTGGAAGCGTCGGCATAAGCTTGAACTTTCGGAGGTCCGTGCGCATCTCTTGGATCGGTGCTGGACCTCCCTTGGCGGCTCCTCTGGTGCTGCCCCGAGCAGCGGCTGCGCCCGTCGGAGGTCGTCGTAGTCGACGCCGCCGCCGTCGACGGCGGCGGCGTCGGCGTCGGCGTCGGTGTCGGCGTCGTCGTCGTCGTCGGCGTCGTCGTCGTCGTCGGCGTCGTCGTCGTCGTTGCCGCGCCGTTGCTGCCGCGTCGTCGCCGCCGCCGCCGTCGTCGCTGGCCTCGCGCGCGTTGGGGGGGAGGGGGCGCTGGCGCGCCGGTGGCACCCCGGCCAAGGCCCGAGGGGCTCCAGCGGCGCGGGGCGGGGGTGGGCGCCAGAGGCCATGTGATGCCGCGGCGGCGCCAGCAGCGGCGTGCCCTTCCCTCGGAGAAGAAACAGCGGCATCAACACATCTATATACATATATACACTACACCTTAGGCGATGCTTAAGAAAACTTAAGTTTTCGTCCAGAGTCTCGATGATTCTTAAGTTTTCAATGTAAATCCTAAGATTTGAATGGAAATTTTGGGTTTTTACTCAAGTTCTGAGACTATGAATTTCTTAACCCATGATTTCTTAAGCATTTCGCAGGGTGTATATTTCGGAGGTCCGCGCATTTCTCCCGACTCTGCGCTGAGCCCCTGCCTGGCGCCTCTGGCGCCGCCCCCAGCGAGCTCGCGCGGCAGGTGGGGGGGGCCCAGCGCCGATCCGAGGAATCCGCGAGGACCTTCGACATGTTTGTGTTTATGTAGCTCTTTCTTCTTCTATTCCCCCAGACCTGGGCGTCGCAACTGAAGTGGCGACGGCCAGTTTTTTGGCGTTCTGGGCTCCAGAGGCCGTCCTCCTGGCCCAGAGGCTCCTGAGGATAATCAAGAAACGGCCCAAGGATGGAACAGCCGCCCTGGGGAAGGGTCGAGATCCCTGGGGGGCCCACGCCACGAAAGAGCCGCAAAATCGGAAACAAGGGCTGGGGAACGCCAACTTGAACGCCAGCACCGATGCATCACGGGCCCAGGAGAGGACGCTGCCGAGTTTTCGGCCAGCTTCCACCACGGTGGGGGCGTGCTCAGGCGGGGCCAGCACGAGTTTTGATCCGTTCCAGAGCGTTCCGGAACACTCAGGGCGTTCCGGAACGCTCTGAGAAGGCCGCGACTCCCGAGACGTCCCCGAGAGCCGCCGGATCTCAGAGGTTCTCGATTTATCTTCACCCGATGTTATCCTCGTCCCGCCTTCGTCTCAGTGGGGGCGTGCCAGGGGCGTGGTGGTCGGCGTTTTTCCGGGGCCCGCCCCCGTTTCGGCCCGGGCTGTGGCCCCGGAGGGTTCCAGACCTCGCACGCTCCCCGCTTTCGCCTCCCCGAGCGCTGCCAGTGCTGAGCCTTCATCCCCACGCGCACGTCCTCCTTGCAGGAGGAAGAGGAGCACAGACACAAGCTTAGCTGCCCTGAGACGCCCAGCTTGAAACGCAACACAATCTGTGTTCAAAACGTCAGTGTTGACACGTTGCGTGTTGGCTCACCGTGTTGGCCCTCGTTTTGGTGAACGTATCGCGCCAGAGCTACGTATTCAATTTACGTGTTGAGCTCCGTGTCAACTCGTTACGGGTTGCGTGTTGTATCGGGGCAGCTACGGACACAAGGAAACGTCAATTCCCAGGAAAATGCGGAGAATTTCGGAAGTGGAGGGGAAGACGAAATTCCAGAAGATGGGGGGCATTTGGGGGATCCTGGAAGTTGTGCCTATTCATTTGTGTGTCCCTGGGCCCCTCTGCCCTGCGGGCCAAGCCATGAGAGCGCATACAGTACAGGCCCGGCAATCGGGGAACTGGCATGCCAGCAGGTTCACCACGGAAGGTGTCTGATCTCCCGAGTGGCTTTGGGGGGCCCACAAACGCCCTGGGGCGCCTCAGGAAGCCGAGAGCTCGACGACAGGCGCGCCCCATGGATCTCTTCGCATGGCAGGATGTCTTACCGTGCGTGCGTGCGTGCGTGCGTGCTGCGTGCGTGCGTGCGTGCGTGCGTGCGTGCGTGCGTGCGTGCGTGCGTGCGTGCGTGTGTGTGGTGTGTGGTGTGTGTGTGTGTGTGTGTGTGTGTGTGTGTGTGTGTGTGTGTCTGTGTCTGTGTCTGTGTCTGTGTCTGTGTCTGTGTCTGTGTCTGTGTCTGTGTCTGTGTCTGTGTCTGTGTCTGTGTCTGTGTCTGTGTCTGTGTCTGTGTCTGTGTCTGTGTCTGTGTCTGTGTCTGTGTCTGTGTCTGTGTCTGTGTCTGTGTCTGTGTCTGTGTCTGTGTCTGTGTCTGTGTCTGTGTCTGTGTCTGTGTCTGTGTCTGTGTCTGTGTCTGTGTCTGTGTCTGTGTCTGTGTCTACCGTGCCTCGGCCCCGTGCCCGCATGTGTCGCCTCGCCGTTTGTTCCGACGCGTGCCTTACGTCTCGGGGAGGGCGCCGCGGGCCCCAGGGCAAACGCTGCCTCGGGCGCGGTGGGCTTGCCGTGGGTTTGCTGCGGTGTCGGCTGCGTCTGCTGGGGCGCGGGACGCAGAATTTGCTGTCGGTTTGCCGCGGTGTCGGCGCCGTCCACCTGGGCGCGTCGAGGACAAACGGCTCCATGTGCTAAGAAATAGACGGCCTCCTCTTGGCCCCCTCCTCCAACGAAACAGCGGCTCTTTCGCGACGTGGGCCCAGGGGGAGATCTCGACCCCTCCTCCGGGGGCCCGCTCTTCATCCTGAGCCGCTTTTGTCGAGGGCCCCGGGGCCGCGAGACCCGCCCCAGAGCTTGCACAGGGTGCACGTGGCGACGCCTGGGTCTGAGGCTACATCGTGCCGCGGCCACGGCCGACCCCGCCCAGCGAGTCCGAAGCCTTCGCCCTCCGGAGCACGCTGGGCGCTGAGCGGGAGGATCCGGGAGCGTCAGGGGCGTCACTCGGCCACGCGCGGAAGGGGGGCAGGGGGAGGGGGGAGGGCTTCTGAGAAGCACCCCTGTCTCTCAGCACTCTCGGGCCTTTATCTGTAGATGTCAGGCCGGCGCCCTCTGAGAAGCAGCCTCCTTCCGAGAAGCACTCCCCCCTCCCACCTGCCCCGCCCCCCTGTGCGCGCCGCCGAGCCAACCGTCCACCTCACCGATCCTGGCCGGGCCGACCTGAGGCCCAGGATCGGTGCGTGCCTCCCTCGCCAAGCCAGGAGGGCGCGCGCGGCGACCTATTGGGCTCGGGCTCGGGCCGGGGGCTACCGCGGCTCGGTCGGCTCCGGTTGCACGTCGCAGTCGGTCGTTGCGTTTGGTCGGCTCGGTCCGCTCGGCCGTCGAGTCGTTGCCGCGTCGCTGCGCCCCCTTTGGGCTCCCTTCGGACGGGGCCAGGACGAGGATAGATCCGTTCCGGAACGCTCTCGGAGCGTTCTGGAGCGCTCCGAGAAGGCCGCGGCTCCCGAGACATCCCCGAGAGCCGCCGGATCTGAGGGATCCCCGATGTGTCTCCTCGCTCGACTTTCTCCACGTCCTGGCCTCCTCCTGTCCCTGCGGCCCGTCCGCCTCGGTCGGTATATCTGTGTCGCTGTCGGCTCGGGCGGCGTCCGCGGGGGCACTGGGGAGGAAGAGGAGGAGGACGACGAGGACGAGGAGGAGGAGGAGGAGGAGGAGGAGGAGGAGGAAGAGGAGGAAGAGGAGGTGGAGGAGGAGGAGGAGGAGGTGGAGGAGGAGGAGGAGGAGGAGGAGGAGGAGGAGGAGGAGGAGGAGGAGGAGGAGGAGGAGGAGGAGGAGCGGCGGAGGAGGCCGGCGCCTGGCGCCCCGCGGCCGAAGCGCCGCGCGGGGCATGGCGGCGGGGACGGCGAGCGTCGCCGCGACCCTGGCGGCCCACAGCCCGCAGACGGTGGCTCCCAGAGGAGGAAAGCTGCCAGGCGTGCCTCTGGCCCGTGGTCCCCCCTCCTCCTCCTCCTCCTCTCCTCCTCCTCCTCTCTCCTCCTCCTCCTCCTCCTCCTCCTCCTCCCAGGATTTCGAAGGAGGCCCCCCTGCGGCCTCCAGGGCGCCCCTCGTCGAGGCCCAGAGGGCCCCAATTAGGGGCTCCCAAATGGAGAGGAAAGCGGGGGGCACCTCGGGCCAGGGGCACCTTTAGCAACCCGCCTTTTAAAGCTGCGGCTGGGATCGCCTCGAGATGATGGCAAGAGCGCGCCCCAGCAGGAGTCCGGGGAGTTGGCGGTATGGGTACCCTTTGGTTGCCCCAGGTTCCCAGACCCCCCGCCCACGACGAGAAACACGCTGTAACGGAAGCTAAGCACCTGACCCAA